ATTAATTGGGAGGTCCTTGGATGCTGCTTCGATGTTGGGTGTGTTCAGTGGAGCTGGTCGATTCAAGAGCTCCTTAAAGTGTTCTACCCACCTATTTCGCTGTTCGTCAGTGTTGCTGATTATTTTCCCTTCCTTGCTTTTCACTGGTCGTTCTGGTTTACGATAGTTCCCGGCGAGCTTCTTCGTTGTTTCGTACAATTGTCTCAAGTTTCCTTCTCTTGCAGCCTTTTCCGCCGTCATTGCTAGATCTTCCACATATTTTCGTTTGTCAGCTCTGATGCTCTTCTCCACTTCCCTGTTTGCCTCTGTGTATGCAGCTTGTGCGGTAACTTTCTCTGCTCTTGTTCGGCTGACGTTGATTGCTGCCTTCTTGTTCCTCCTTTCTTCAATTTTTTCAAGAGTACCAACAGAGATCCAATCCTTATGATGGTATTTCTTATGACCCAGAACTTCGTGACATGTTGAAGTGATTGCTTCCTTGATCCCTTTCCAATTGTTCTCCAATGTTGCTTCCTCTCCAATGAGTAAATCCTGAAAGGTGAGGGCTATCTTGAATTCGTTGAGTTTTACGGTATCCCGAAGAAAGGCCGTATTAAACTTCTGTGATGTTGTCTGTCCCGTTGTCCAGTGCTTCTTTAGCTTCAGTTTCATTTTGGCGATCAGCAAGTGGTGATCTGAAGCTATATCAGCTCCTCTCTTGGTTCTCACATCCTCCATGGTCCTTCTGAACGTTTTGTTGATACAGATATGGTCAATTTGGTTTTGAGTAGTGTGATCCGGTGAAATCCATGTGGCTTTGTGTATGCGTTTGTGAGGGAATATTGTGCCACCGAAGACCAGTTTGTTGAAGGCACATAGGTTTGCGAATCTCTCACCGTTTTCGTTTCTTTCTCCCAGTCCATGTCGTCCCATGATGTCTTCATATCCAGTGTTGTCCATGCCAACTTTTGCATTTACTTCTCCCATAAGAATCGTCAAATCCTTTGGTGGTCATTTCTCGACGATTGACTGCAGCCTTTCGTAGAATTGATCTTTAACGTCGTCATTGTAGTCATTGGTAGTTGCGTAACATTGGATGACGTTCATTGTAATGTCCTGTTTCTTTGTTTTGAAGGATGCTTTGATGATCCTGGGTCCATGAGATTCCCATCCTATCAGTGCCTTTCGTGCATGTTTGGACAGCAGCAGTGCAAATCCTTGTGTATGTGAAGCGTTTTCCTCTTCATGACCAGAGTATAACAGCAGTTCCCCTGAAGCAAGTCTCAGTTGTCCTACCTGTGTCCAATGCGTTTCACTGATGCCGAGCACCTCGAAGTTGTATCTTTTCATTTGTGCCGCAACTTGAAATAGTCTTCCAGTCTCCCACAATGTACGAACGTTCCATGTACCTAAAAAAATGGTTGCTCTGGTTGTCAGAAGAGGCATCGTCCCCGTGACTTCCGAGGGAACTCGGCTTTCATCACGAGACGTCATAATTCTTCTTCCAACTCCCAGGGCAGAGTTAAAATGGTTTGAATTATTTTTTCTGGTTAGCGTTTTTTTGGCAAGTGAGATTTCAACGGAATGGGGTTGCCAACCCATGTCCAACCCTCCTCCTTTATCCGGGCTTGGGACCGGCAGTAGCCCCTAAGGTTCTACTGGCGGAGTTAACCAATCTACCTCACCATTACTTTAATTAGTTTTGATGTCTTCCAGTGTAAGACAGGTGTTCTGAACTGTTCACCTTAACCACAGAAACAAGTAATTGAGGAGTGATCAAATTGTAAGAGAACTGAACAGTAAAACGAATAATTTGTGAAGGTGAAGTATATATATATATATATATATATATATATATATATATATATATATTCCTTGAGTGACGTAGTTGAAGATCGCTCATAGTATCTACATTCCCATTGGCTTATCTCTTTCTATGAAACACTGAACACTTGGTCATCTTTCATTTATTCACCCTTTAGTTTACTTGTGAAATCTCAATCCATTATTAAACGAAGTTCAAAAATCTGTACTTGATTAATCTATTGCAATATTTATATATATAGAGAACTACTGTTTAAGGATTCAACATAATCAGTATGACAAAAGATTATGAGACTTTAGTCATAGTATGTGCATGTTTGCTGAGAAATATATCTTTTGTAACGTAAATCGAACAACAAATTGAAATAGTTAAATTCTTTCTTGAATCCTACTATTTTGTTTCTTTATTCTACTTTCCTTTTTTGATTAGTCTTGCTGATTTCTTTTTACAATAAATGTGGTAGACGAAAATATTTATTTTTATATTCAAGTAGGTTTAGAATTATTGAAATCAGTGAATAGAATGACTATCAATAGATCAATTGAAGTAATACTATGTGGTTCAAACTTTCAAATGAAATATTATTAAAGACAAAACAAGACAAGACTATTAGCCAGAAGAATACGCTTTTTACCTAATAGCATGTTTATGTACAATTATTAGCTAAAAATAAACATCATTAGTTACTATAACCGATTAGAGGATACTATTTTCATAGTTCACCTACTCTTCGGTAAATCGAGACTGAGCTGTCAGACCTAATTATTATTGTTCATTATATTACAAACAAATTAGCGTAGGTGAATTTCTCTATTCCTTTTTTCCAGCCTAATCTTTAAGTTCCAAAATATTTCTATCACATTTGAAATCAGTGTAAAATAGGTTCATTTTTTAAACTAAATAAACATTTTCTTTTTTTAGTTTGATTAGTTTTTCTTCATTTGTGTGTACAACATGTTCTCTACACAGTTTGATTGGGCACTCTATTAATGTTTTGTTAGTTTGTTTTTCTTTTTCTGAAGAGATTAATGCACTAGTTGGTAAATATCTTTTCAATCATCCGATTATCTCAATTACACAATCGGATACATAGTCACTTGAAAATTATGCATGTTCGTTGTGATTTCATGTATTTACTATTGTTAGTTTGTCAGTATCAGTGCATCGAACATGAATTTGAATTTAATTGATGATCGAATTTTGAAAGGAAATAAAAGTTGAGTCTTTATGACTGACTCATTTTCTGAGTAGTGTATTTCTATTCTTTCCTCTTATCAATGATATGCATGATATATATGTGTTTGAGTTTGTAGGAATAATTTGTTTTCTTTCAGTTGATGCCATTTATAGCTCATGATAAATGATACATTAATAATGAGAATAAAACATCTCATGTTTAAAAGTGTAAAAAGCAAAAAAATATATAACCAAACTGAGTAAAGCATTTACTTACTGAAGATCATAAGTAACGTTATGTTTAAATAATAAGCAGAGATGAATAGTGGCTTAATGGCCAATATCAAGACAATCCGCACAGGATATACTGTTACTAAAATAGACTGATCAATTGCATTCGTAAACATCAATGAGAATATCCAACACAATCATTACAGATATACTTAATATTTAAGTTTATATAAATAGTCTTTAACTGGAAGTTCATTGTTTTTTAGAAAAATAATGTAACTCAGAATAACAATCGGTGACTTTATAGTAACCTGTACTATAATAATATACGTGACTTGGTTACCTCAGCTGGTTTACAGTTTTTAGAGTTTCGGTGCATGGTTACTTTTGTTTTCTGCATTCATCGGTTGAATCTTATTTATTTGATTTTAATGATACATATGTCATTTAGAAAGATGTCAACTACTAATCGATATGACATTGCATTATATTCGTATCATTATAAATGTTATCTACCGTCTGCTGATTCGATAGGTCATCGTTTTCGAACTGTTTGAAATGTTATTTTAACACCTCTGTTATAAATTATTTACAAGTGATATGGTCTTCACTAGGTACGCTTGAAGCTATTACGAGTTCACCTTAGTCGATAAATGCGAACCAGACAATTATCAGCGTCCAGATAGGCTACCTTGAATCCCAAGCTGAAGACAGAAGGCTTTGTAAGCGTAGAAAGTATATTCTACAAACACCCAGCAATCACAATACAATCAAGCACACAAGTCTCGTTTATTTATGCATCATAGAAATGTCCTCGGGGTAGTTACGAAAATAGCACACCAAAATACACAGCAGCCAATCACATCCATGGATTTTCGTGGTGGGAAATGAGATCTCAAGGTCAACTGATCAGCTCATGCTCGCAAACGTGAAATCCAAAATAAGGCATTTATCAAGCGAGTTCTGGGGATCTAACATCCCCAACAACAAGTATACTATTTCATAGTTTAAGAAAGTATGAAGTTCTTAGTGAAATCTATGACTTCTAATTAGACATTTACCTCAGATTGTATTTTGTTAATATTGTAAGTAATGCTTGCACTTGATATGTGTTTGTAAGCGAATTTAATGTCTACATTAACTTTTCACTATGTAATCACATGGTATTCTGTGGACAATTGTTGTATATTTAGTCAGTAAGTTATGTCAACTATAATACCACAAATTCTCATCAATCAATCATTAAAACTTAATTTCGAAGTGTTTCCCATGAGTGTGTACACAACTCATCATCGATTCATTTCTTTTTTTACAGTTAACATTTAATAATCTCATAAAATTGCATCAATTTTATGCTGACTAGTTGTTAACAAACCCTTACACTGATCTATATTCAAGTATTGAGTATTTCAAATCCACTTGTACTCCAATCCACCTATTTTGTTTTTGGGCAGCCAGGTAGTTTTATTGATCGTTATATCTAAATTCTAATCCGAAGCTGAGTATGTTCATCGGTATTTGATGATAAATGAGTTGTATTATACTCACATGAATTGATTTCTCCAACTTCTATTCACGACGACAACAACAACTACAACACAAATATTATCCAGTGTGATTAGTGAATATTTCTCTTTCAGTAGGGTTGAATTGTTTTTTAAAATAAAATTTATACTGTTTGATGTCTCTGCGTAGGCACATAATTACTTTTTTATTTCAACATATATCAGAAATTGTTTTTGTGTACATATATATACTTACTTTCTTTTTAAAAATCTTATATTTATAGGTTCCTGTAGATGATTTGCATTTAGCTTCAGAAGCATTGATTAAAGCTTTACTATTACGTCATAAATATATTACGTCTTCACAACAATCATTTCATTGTACAACTAAACGTTATTTAAGTGTACTGGATTCAGGTTCAGTGAAATTATTGGATTCTGAAGAGAAACAATACAAATCTATACATACCCCTGTATTTGGTGAGAGCTGTATAATGTTAAATTTGATTTTATATTTTCAATTTTTCATGCTACTAGTAATAATAATAATAATAATAATGCTAATAATGGTACATATTACTTATTTCATTCGGTGATTTTGTTTACGAGTTGTTTTTGATAGTAACCATTTACTTTAAATAAGTTATTTCTAGTTTCATTTTCACATCATGCATGAAATGTTTCAATCGTTTTTATATTTTATTTTTTATCGTGATCCTAAATCATATAATACGTGTTAACATAGCATTGTACTGTTAGTAAACTTACATTTTTCACAAATTTATACACCTCATTTGATGAAGGTTCACGGCTTTGTATTACGTAGAAGATACTTAAAGAGGACTTACCTTTCATACTGAGACGAAAGTGGGTTAGTTTACTCAGTTAACAACCGAACTTCTGCAGTATCATGTTAGCATGTAACTAGGACATAGAAAGATCATTCATTATTTTATTTCATAGTTTTATTCTAGATTTACTTGATTACAATTGATAGGACTTTTGCGAATAATATGTAAGTCAGCGAACAAATTCATTGCGTTAATAATGGAAATATAAATACTGTTTAGATATGATAATGCTCATTTTAACAATATCACTTAACTGAAACTATACAATCATATTTATATTGATATATGTATTAGTCTATTCAAAAATACAGTAGTGTGTTGTATTAGAAATATCGAATATCGAAAAATGGTTATGTAATGATCTGAATGCTAATAAGAACTGAAAAGGTGGAGGATACATTGAGAATAATTGTTCACTTGATGAATGTGAAGAAATTAGCAATTGAGTGTTGTAACAAGGGTTTAAAATCGCATGGTAAATATATTTTCGTTTAGAAACCGTTACAAGACTTGAAGGTCTCTTCATCATCATCAGTGCCTGTTACTCCCAGTGGATTATAGGCTGCCGACCAGTTTTCTACAACCTTCTCTGTCTTACTCTGACTCAAAGGGTCTACAGGCGGTGTTGAAGGTCACTTGTCTAATCCTAGTGCAGTGTTGTTGATGCCTGAGAATTTCATACTAGTGTTAAACAGCTATCCAGTGATCTTTCACTCTTACTGGCTTTCTAAAGGATATCTATTTGTTTGGAAAAATCATTGTCATAAACCTGACCAACTCACCTCAAAACAATTTGACATTGAACTTGAATAAATCAGTTGCTGTGTATGTTTCAGAGTTGAATTCAATTAGTTATCCTACGACTGTTTCTCATCTTCACTATCCTTTCCTAATACAATTTGAATTGCCATTTTATGTTTACTTTTTGGTATTTTAGTTTCAGTATCATCTATCTTTTCATTCTTTAAGTTTATTCCCTAATAAGATTTATTGCACCAATAATGTTCATTATGCATAAAAAATGTTAACCAACATTGATCTTTAACTAGGTTACAATAAACTAATCATTTGCCAAGTGATTATTTGTTGTGTATTCATTAATTCATAGTTTATGAATCGGTTTTTCTTAACATAGTTTACATTACATAACCATTTATTTAATGTTTCATTAGTTTACAATTACTAATGACTATTGTTGTGATTTGCAATTGCGTACCTGTAGGTGTAAAAACACTATCCTCATTGATTTTGTATTTCTGTTGTTTCCCTTATGATAATAATAATAATAATCTTATTCATAATGTAACAGTATTGTTATTTTTGTTTTCCTCATGTGTATAATCTAATTAGTATTTCGAATGAAATGTTATTTTTTTAATTCATTTTCAAGATTCGAATCTAGTTGACAATATCAACATCAGAACCAATTATAATATTAGTAATGATAATAATAATAATAATGTACACCAGTATATACGAACAGGTAGAAGAATCTCTTCTCTTGAAGGTACTAGTTATTTAAAATATGTTCATTACCCCTCATTCAGATTGCGCGCATGCCACCCTTTTAAAAATTGGTAGTGGTAGTAGTAGTAGTGGAAGAGCAAGAAATGGCTTAAATTTCATCTACACCCAATTGATAATATTTAATACTTTACTAGTCTTGCTGTTAATATATTAAAAATTATTGATAAGCATCCTATTACGCCCTAACTCTTCAGTGTAATCTGTTTTCGTTTCTAAGCATTATGGCATGTAAACTCCAGTGAGTTGTGTTTTTTCATTTGTTATCAATCTCTCCTCAATGCCTTTCCCTTTTGCTCCCTCTTACGAATATCTTTATTCAAAAAACGAATAAATAATATCACCACGTATTATGTAAACATGGGATTATCATTTAAGCTTTATATAGAACTTGTTTTTATATGATCACTGCAGTTTTTTTATTGTGATTTATTATCTGTTTTTATCATTAGTTTTCATTAGTTTTTGTGTATCGAACTTTCACTTCATTTAACTTTGTATGTGCTGTACTGTTTCAAGATTGGCTTGTTCACCCCATTCAACACAGGTCCATTTATATTAAACATATATATACATATATATTCTGTTTGTTGAGTCTCTTATGTTTCTAGCTTATTGTGAATGAATCGTCAAGTCAGTAAACAAATTATGCCTAATGTCATTGATATGGTGAGCGAATCTAGGTTATCCACCTGTAGGTCTTTCCGTCGTAGTATAAAAGTCCTCAGTAGTGCGCATTCACTATCCCGAACGCGGGAATCTAACCAGGTTTTCAAAGGTGGTGGTCTGTGTGAGATCGCTGCATAATTTTAGTCAAATTCAACAATGCGTAGGCTTACACATAAATATCAGTTCGAAACGTACAGATGTGTGTGGAAATATTAAGGGATCATCACAGTTTGTTCGTGAAGATAATTCAAAAACTTAACTAATTTAAACACATACTAACTTATGTGTAAGTTAGGTCACAGTTTACGTTGTGGACTAATGTTAGTTAAACACTCGTTGAAGATAAGACCTTTTATTCGCCGTCCAATGTATGACATCAACCATACCCGACCGACATCAACCATAAGAATGATGATAATCTTTATTAACAACAGATAAAAGAATATTTCTTTATTATTTTCTTTAATTTATCACAGTTATTTGAATATTTGTATTCTTTGAACTTTGTGGATTAGTTGTGTGCATATATTTCATTATTAAAGTTGGCTGGTAAATTTATCTCAGATGGTTGAGTTCATTCAATCAATGTAAGAAAACAATTTTTTTTTCATATCTTACTTCTATAAATATCATAATAAAATAATATTGTATTCATACTATTCCAATCATTAAATAAGTCTGTCCATTTGCAGGAAGTAGAATAATGCATATTCTATTTTAAAAAAAACACATTAAAAGTAAACTAATTTAGATTGTTTTTACTACTTGTTGTAAAACTACGCTTACATCATAATTATTAACAGTTTCTGCAGTATTTATTCAGACTGAAAAGCGCTAAGTTATTGTATTATTCAAGTTGTAAGTACTGGTTCGGATTTTACTGTGCAAGGTTAGTCGTCTTATCTATATCCACATTATTGTTATTATTACTACTACTGAAAACAATGTCAGATCATTGTGACATAATATATGGCTGTTCATCACTTCAAAAATATTACATGAAGCATCAGTTCCTCAAAGATTGTGGTTACACCTTATTGATAAGTATTAACCAACACAGTTTATTGATCCATATTCTCATATACATAGCTTAATGTATGGGACATAAGAGTAAGCAATGCTGTTATTAGGAAACGGGTACAAGGTAAGGATGACAGGTCAATAGATGAAGTATTGAAACTTCATTAGTTGAAGTGATTGGCACATGCGTTACGTATGCCCAACCACCGACTGCCTCGACGAGCTATGTTTTTTGGTATAAGAGTAGGTTTGAAGAAAGCTAGGGGTAGCTAAACCAAAACATGGCACAAATCCACGAAGTCAACTGAGTTATGTAGGTAAGTGTGAACTACCTCGTTAGTGTCCACTAGACGGTATTAACCAATGGTTAGAGTCCTTGAACCACATGTTTGAAAACCCGTTGCCATGGAGCAGGTGCATTCATTCTTTGTGTTCTCTTAAATCCTAAACTTTTTTCTTTTTAAGTTTCTTTCATTAGATTCTACTTCTTGAGCAATAGCTACTAACCCTAATCTCTCCGATTACTGCTAATACCTTTAATATCTCTATTGCTATGGAATTCGAATTGACAATCGCATCTCTGTGCTAATGTGTATGGCAACATGAACTGATGTACTTACGTACGTACGAAGTTTTACGTTGCTATTGGTTGATTGGTTGATACATTGCTTAAAGCAAAATGTTTTCCACAATATCGAAACATTTAAAGTGTGGTCACATCTTAATTCTCTTGATAGAATCCAGTCAACGATGAAGACCATGGTGTTGATTATTAATTTGTTACCGATCAGTATATATATTGACTCATTTTTTGTGGTGTTTTCAGAAATATCCTTATCCACGGAATGAATGTAAGGGGGTTGGAATTTGAAACAAATCGATTAAAACAATTAGTTTTGTCTCTATATATATTGATTACTAAAAAAATGACACTATCTAGCCTAGTGATGAAGCCTCTGTTAATGATGAATATCTAAGAATTAACTGAATTGTAAAATGTTACTCTTTTTTACTAATTTAAAAAATTCCAATTTACTTAATAATGTTAATTATTAAATATAAATAATGAATAAAGATTTTTTTAAATTTCCTTTTAAATTTTTATTCTATAAAAATTATCAATAGTGTTATTGGTTATGCTTTTAAAAACTGAATTTAACATGATGGTCGCAAGAAGTGGCTAGAAAAATCAGATCTAGCGTTCATTGATTATCAGATTTATGAATACTATGATTATTATTGTTAGTATGAATTAGGTAGACACTGTTGTGTAAAGCCGAAAATATTACCAACTGATTGTCTTTCTTTAGACAAAAATGAATATTTATGTGCTTCAAGATTGTTTTTATTTCTCTGAAGACTGACAGACAGACAGACATACAACGCAGAACTTCGTACGCAAGTACATCAGTTCAGGTTTCCATACCACATCAGCACAGAGACGCAACTGTCAGTTCAAATCCAAGAGTGATAGCAATAATAGAAGTATTAGAACTAACGGAGATTAGGGAGCGAAGATATGATTCGAGAAGTATAATTCAGTAAGATAAATTTAGAACGATAAAGGTAGAGATTATGAGGAATGCAGAAGCTTGGAATTTCATAGAACACAAGGAGTGGATTCACCTGCTTCATTACAGACGATTCTGAGCCATGTCATTCAAGGTCTCTAACCATCGGTGACTTTCGTCTCATGGACCCCAACCAGGTAGCCTACATCTGCTAACATGACTCAGTCCACTTGTCATTGACTTCATGGATTTGTGCCATGTTTTGGTTTGGCCGCCCCTAGCTTTCTTCCAATCTACTCCTACTTCTCTGAAATAAAAAAAAATCAATTTCTAAAAGCTTTTATACTAACATTTATCATGAGAAATTTATGTTTTTATACCAGTACTCAATATCTTTTGTTGACTATTTATTTAAAGTTATATTCGATATTAATTTAGTTAGCTTAAATAAATTTTAATGCACCAAATATTTCTAAACAAACTACTATTTGATTTTGATTCATTAGGAAAGAAAAGATATCCACTTAATGTATTGATTTATAAGTAAATGAAAAAAATTGTATATTCTATATTTATTTATTTATTTCTATTGGATTCATTCCTGTCTTTTAAATTTATTATTGATATTATTGTATGCATTCATTCATTGTTTAATCAAAGCCATAGATGAATTAATATATATATTTTTAAAAAAAAATCGAATCAAATTCTTGATGCAAATCGACGTAAATTGCATTTTATATTTGTTTTCCTCCTATTATTTATCCGGTAAGCACATTGAAGGATGGTTAAAAATCTTCAAGAAAGTTCAATATACTGTATTCAACCTAGAATTTGTCAGATACACGTTTGTGTAATCAGCTGTTTGTCATTGTATTTTTCAGTGCTAACAATACTAGATTGATGTTGCTCTAAACTATAGCAGGTTGGCAAATGATGTTGGAATCTGTGATTCGTTGATTAGGACATTGAGTATTTTTTAAGCATTAAGCTACTACTAGTTCATACTTTTCATTTTATTTTCAAATCTCAATTTCCGTTTTTATTCACTAAAAGTCCGCGTACTTAAAGTGCTTCATTGTTATTACAGATATCAGCGACACTTTTCTCCTCTTACTTGACTTTTTTTCCCAGTGTTTGTTTATTATCCTAGGTTCAATGAAAAAATATAGATATAAACGATAACTATGGTTGTTTACTTATCTTTGTGTGCTTTTTGTTCACCTCAAGAATTCAAATTTTATTTATTTTCTGGATTGGTTTGAATTTGGGAGAAGTATTTGGGCTCATTGTTCAAGAAATGCGGGCTACGATTAATTCACAATGTGTTCAAGTTCAAATTAGTACTTGTATCGAAAACCTTTCATATATCCCATAATTAAACCTCTCATTACTAAATACTAATTTTAAGCTGTAATCCATCAATTGACTAGTTTTTATCTCTAATCTTGAATGGTATTTCAAGTGGATTCATGTAATCTTCGACGAATAGTGGTCAATATTTAAATGAATAAATTGATGACAATTGGATTCTGAGTAACATAAAAGACAATTATTTGTAAAAATTACATTTGAAATAATCTCAGCGATTGAAAATGAAATATTTCTCGTTCAGTAAACTTGTTTGTACGTCTTCAGGATATTAATAATAATAGTTATTATTATTATTATTATCATTATTATTATTATTATTATCAAAATCAAGATTATCGAAGAATGTTTCACAATCGAATCATGTATGTAATTATTATGTAATTGGTAATTCTCAATTTACATACATTTACTTACTTACTTACGCCTGTTACTCCCGATGGAGCATAGGCCGCCGACCAGTCTTCTCCAACCAACTCTGTCCTGGGCTTCCCTTCCTAGTTCTTTCCAGTTTTTGTTCATTCTTTTCATATCTTTCTCTATTTCTCGGCATAATGTGTTGGCCTTCCTCTTTTCCCTTAACCTTGAGGGTTCCAAGTGAGGGCTTGTCTTGTGACGCAGTTGGGTGCTTTTCGCAATGTGTGTCCTATCCACTTCCACCGCTTCTTCCTGATTTCCTCCTCCACTGGAATCTGGTTTGTTCTCTCCCACAGTAGATTGTTGCTAATGGTGTCTGGCCAACGAATCCCAAGTATTTACATGCATACTTGACTTTAAAAAAAACTTAATAAACAAATACTTGATATTCAATCACCGAATTTCAAGTAATAATAATATAAAGTTACACATATGCACACATAGTCACTTGTTTATTCTCACATTATGAACTTTTTATATGAATGATTCAGATGTCACTGTCTCATATTATCCTCACTTACTCAAATCAACGTGTAAATATTAGATTCGATGAGGATTTAGGGTATATTTGATAATATTGATTTTAATAATAATAATAATTATCCTGAAGTTTACTGAACGAAATTTTTGAATTATTCAATTTTCAATCGTGAAAATTATTTCAATTATAATTTTTACAAATAATTATTTTGTTGTTGCCTAGTGTCCAATAACAATTTTTTATCAACCTCTATTGGTAACTAGATTTTTCGCATTAAGAGCATGTTTCTTTACAAATATACCCCGGCTTGTTTTAATATTGAAATTGATATATTTCTGCCTGTCGTTTTTTTTTGTATAGGTATATTTTATTCACATTGGTAAACACTTGCATTCACCCATCATCCCTCCTATGTTTATTTACGTTACATGTATTGTTTGTGCATCCTAGACTTTGTATATATTTGTGATGATTGAATTCTACAAATAAGTCTTTTTATTTTCTTTGTTTTCTTCTTTTCGTCTTATAAAATTGAAAACTGATTATTCTCTATCTTATAGATCACCCAATTAATCCACCTGGGAAAACTGGTGATCCTTTTGAGATGGACTATTGGCCTGAGCCATTAGATGTTAAAATGGAATTTCGCAAGGGTATTATGCATATTGAATCATTGTCTGATTCATCAGACAAACATCATGTTAATTTAATGAATGGAACATCAGAACCTGGTTCTAATGAAAATATGGATGTTAATCAACCTATGAAAAAAGATCTGCCAGAATTCATTGTACCATCTTTACAGACATTTTTCTCAGATTTCGATACAATTCGTACATTTGTTGGCGATGGCCCGTTAAAATCATTCTGTTATCGTCGATTGACATATTTGGCTTCGAAATTTCAATTACATTCATTGTTGAATGAAGCTCGAGAATCGTTTGAACAAAAACGTGTATCACATCGTGATTTTTATAATATTCGAAAGGTAAATTACTTCAACTAATCCATAAACATATTCTTTCTTTTGGGAATTTCACTCAAGCACCTATATAACAAAATAGTTCTTAAAGAATCTTTTAAAGATTACACAATTCCCCACTACTGTTTTTCTAATATTATTCTGGCCGGAGAATAGTAGGAAGTCTTTTTATTACTTAAAAAATCGCATAGATTAACCGATGTTTACCACGTTGTGTTGACAATCTGCTGTTTGTAAAAATAAACGTTAACATCTTTGTAAATCAGATATATCCTATAGAATGTATTGTTTAAGATCAATAATTCTGAAATATCAATTCATATAATTCACTCAGTGTTGGGAAAAAAATATTTCACCCACATTAGCTTAAAACTTACCCCGGTCAGTTAATGAGAGATACACTGAAAAACAGGCTGAACAGTGATTCAGAACATTACAGAAAGTATTTATTTAATTTAGTTCAGCTTTTAATAATTGACGAAAGAGGGAAAATCAAAATAACCAATAGAGAATTATTAAAAATTAATTTAAACATTGTAAGTCGAACTGAAGAGAAAAAAATAAATATGAGAAGGATTTTATTAGTTCAACAAAAATAAACTGTAAGTGTATCGTGATTCTTTTGATCAATATTGTGTGATTTACTAGTTTACATTGCAAATAGTCATTAAATTTCTTGTTGTTAGTGCACAAGTTAATCTATTTGTAGTTTACATTGTGTATTGACTTAATCGATCTGAACTAAGAAGCATTAGATAGTTGTTTCGTTCTATTATGAAACTCATCAGTAGTGCTACTTATTCAGAATGGTATTTGAATTTGAAAAAAACTATCAAGGGTTGTATTTGTTTTCTTGGATTGTTATCTGGTAAGAATACTGTAAAAGAAAGATAGTCATTGTTTTATTTTCGATGTTGTCATAGAGAAAAGTCACTTTGTCTTTCTATACGCTACAGACTTTTCACAAAAACCCTTGCATAGTTCTAAAGATAATGTTCGTCATTAACTGGAACCTAGAGAAGAACTAGAAGATCTATTCTAGTTTGTAATTCTCTAACTATGTGATATGATATCATTCAGCTATTCACTTTAGATTCAATATTGTACGTTATCAGATTTTTATTACTTTCATACTATATGAATAGATAATAGATTAAAGTATCAGTGTTCATCAATAGGTGTAAGTGCTTCCTTTGTAGCTTTCAGTTAACTATCACATCATATATATATATATATATATCACACCTAGTAATATCTTTTTTATTGCATTTCTTTTCCTCTCTAGAGTTGACCATAAATATCATGCTAATAATAAAACTAATTATTCGATTATATCATCCGTCACTTTTTTCATTGTCTTATATTATTATTGAACCCGAATCTCGACACACAAACATGGTTAGATGAATAATTAACTTATCAATGTACTTTGAATTAATAGGCAATCATCAAATCATTAGGTGGATATTTCATTTCCCTATTGATTGGTAAACTAGCATCTGGAACATCTGTCTTTATCTAGGTCAACTAACTAAATGAAAAAAATGACTTTAAATAGTTTATTTTTTCTCCTTCTTCTTCTTCTTCATTAATTTTAACCGATAATTACCGATTTAGTTTAATTTTCTCTTTGATTAGGTTTATTAGAATAAAAAAACGATAGCGAACAAAAGAACACCGTTCCTATTGACTTCATAGGTGTTTATTGTAAATGTTTGTCATTTATCATGATTATTAAAAAGAAAAAAGCATATTTTCACAGTCTTATTTGATTATATTGTAGAATAAACGTTCAACCAACAATGGCTTATAGCATTCAAGCTAAATCTTAAGTCATCGGAAATTTGTATTAAGTGAATAGATTGTATCTAGTTAATATATATATATATATATGCACAGTGTAATGATAATAATTAATTTCTATATTATCTGGTTACTAGTTCGAACGAAACCTTAGTAGATTAATTATAGTTTTAGATTTCTATAGTAAAATATTCTGAATGAGCTAATGATAAACAGTATATGTGTCTAGTTCTCTTCTACATATCATTTAGATTTACATTTTCTGTTTTATTTATTTATTCTGAATTTCAGTGTTTTTGTAGTATTTCCATTGCGATGTTTACTTTTCTCTGTCACCTAGATTTTCCTTTGTTGACATAATAATCATTATACACATTATTTATACATGATCATGATAATAGTATATTTTTTGTGGTTAGTTCAATCATTCATAAACCATATAATAAATATTTTACTGCAAAAATAGCTGGAATGTGGCCAGCAATCAAATCCAGGACGCGGGTTTCCTCTTTTTCGGTTCTCGTCATCTGGATTCACCTGCATGTCGGAGTTGATGTTCGCTCCAGGACTCGAGCGCAGTACCGTTTTATCACCAAGCTTCAGTCAAATATCAAAAACGGGATAATCCAATCCATTTTAAATTGAATTAAAACTTATACCCATTTCAACAGAGAGTTATCTCTATGGATTCAGTAGCTTAGTAGATAATGCGATGACACTGAAAGCAAAGACAATATGAGGCTTGACTCCTGAGGCGAACATCAACTCTGGGATGGAAATACGCCCAGAAGACTAGTCCTGGATTCCAGTGCTAGCCACCACACTCCATTTATTCTATACTAAATTGTACTGCAGTATCTCTGTAGAATCAATCTGCGTAAGATGCACGTATACCAACCAAGACTGATTAATTAAATATCAGTCAAATATCAACAATTGGATAGTTCGATCCATTTCAAATTCAAATATTTTGCTATTGTAATTCAATATTTCATTTATCTGCATATTATCTATTTATTTATTTATTGTATTTCAGGTTGATACACATATACATGCATCATCATGTATGAATCAAAAACATTTATTACGTTTTATCAAGAAAACAATTCGTACTAAATCAGATGTTTATGTATGTGAGGATCCAAAAACTAAAAAGCCTATGACATTAAGTGAAGTAAGTCACATCGTAATTTTCAATTATATCTTCTTTTATGTCCTTGTGTATAAATTGTTATGGTTTGATGTGATATGATAATCAATAAACTAATATTCAATTTAATAGTTTGTTCAATCTAGAAATAATTTTTATCACGAACTCTAATTAACAGTAAAACTTTTGAAAATTAGGGAACATTGATCATTTGTGCTTGTGTGTGTGTGTGTGTGTGAGCACTGTTTTGTGTACTCCTCGGGCTACAACAAATCATTGAGTATTGATGGTGTATCTTAAGAATGTCGAGTAAGAATTACTGATATTAGATACAGGGTACTAGGTTAATAGGATGATAAAAATATGAGTCTTCATCCACTCAATTACTTATAACATGCCTCACGTTTACCCAACAGCCTCTTACTTCAATGCCTAGTGTTGTTCGATGTAAGAATAGATCAACATACCAAAATGTGGTACCAGTTAACAATGTTAATAACTGTTGAACTGAACCATATTAATAGATGCAGACTACCTGAGTGAGATCAATTCGATTATCGAGATCAATAATGATTGGAGATGTTGTTTGACATAGTTCAAAGTCGGTTGCGATAGAACATATCCATTCAGTCTTAGCTTTGTCCTCGACTCTGAGTCTCAAAAATTCTCAAAATACTTTTTGTACATAAATTCATTCCTTTTGAATAATATTCTCTGTGCCTAATATCTTTTTAATATAAATGAAACTACTACCACTACTACCATTACTACTGAAAGTAGTCAATTCGTTTTATGAATATCACATTCGATTGTAGATAGACGTTTCCACAAAAGTATATCATTTAATAAAATAATTGTTTATAACTTAGGTTTTATTCTATTATGGTAACACCAAACTACTAATGAAAATACACTACTTAAGAATAATATTGTTTTCCAAACATATGAATTAAAAATGTCTACAAATTGAAATTTGTTCAAATAAACACTTTTAGCTTCATCAAAAAATATCAGTACTAAGTGAAACAATCCCAAGTAATCTTAAAAACGCCTGTAATTTTCATGCTGAAACCACTGTTAGTAAAAGCTGTTAAAAACTTTTTTTAGTATTTACTTTACTCGCTTAGATTACTGAGATTTTGTGTAGTTCAAATGTCAGTCAGTCAATCACTTACAACGTACAACTTTGTGCGTACGCACATCAGTTCAGGTTGCCATACCATATTAACATAGAGACGCAATTGTCAGTTCAAATCACATAGTGATAAAGAACTATTAGCGGCAATGGAGAAGATTAGGGTTCGAAGAAATCATTCATAAAGTATAATTCAGTGAGATAAATTTAAAAAGGGAAAGAGGGAGGTGATGTGGAATCCAGATTAGAATTTAAGAGAACATAAGAAGTGGATCCACGTTCACCATTGCAAACGATTTTGAGCTATGTCATTCAGTAGCTAACCATCGTTTACTATCGTCTCGCGAACCCCAACCAGGTGGTCTACACCTGTTAACATAGTTCAGTCCAGTTGACAGTGACTTCGTGGATTTGTGCCATCTTTTGGTTTAGCTACCCCTAGCTTTCTTCCAACCTACTCCTACACCACGAAACATCGCTCATTGAGGCAGTCGGTGGTTAGTCATACGTAACATATGTCCCAACCACCTTAACTAATGTAGTTTCACTACTTCATCAATTGATCTGCCATCCCTACCTAGTACTCGTTTCCTAACGACAGCATTGCTTACGCAATCCAAACGGGATATCACTTACTTAAAATTGAAATCATTTGGAAAATAACGTACTATTATTTATCGTACATTTTTCCGTATCTGTTCTGGATTTCTTGAGATTAAAGTATTTATCGTTAGATTACTTGATGGTACGTAACATTAATGTTACTAGTTAGATGTTTTAATATTTAGTAATCTGGAAGGATTGTAAGCTTCGACTAACCGGTTATTATAGTCCTTTTTGGTTGTTGTCATTTCATTTTCCAGGTGAGTTCGTGGTGAAATTATTTTTCAAATTATCTATTTAGTTTTTAAGTTACATTATTGCTTAGATATGTACTCCTCTCCAAAAGGCTACACTTTTTAATGCGTTTTTCTTTGGTAATATTACTGTTTTGGAAAATGTGCACCTCAGTGAATAATTTGTTATAATTCATTTACATGTGTGCCCTAAAATGTTGTTTAAACCTTATTGACCTAATGCTTTTATTTAATTTTATGTAAAAAATGTTTATTTCTATTCATTTATTTAAACAAATAAACATTTGTACAAAAGTGCACCTAAAAATTTATGGGTCACACAAATTAATGAATTTATGAGTGGGCTGAGCCACTACACAGACGAAGCAAGTGATCTTCTTAGATGGCTACACCACTATCGTTTTACCCGAAAATCTAATACATTAGAAAGTGAAGTGATGTTAGGAGACTCATTGCCATAGTAGTCGGTGATCAACTGTTCTCTCAGGATCATGTGGTCTATATTCACCATTTGTTTGATGTCTGGGTTTTCCTCCATACCTATCAATCAGGTTTCAGCTTGTATAGGACATTCGATTTTCGTCCTCTGCAAGAAGACAGTGAGTAGGATTTCCCTTGTAGTAGCTATGTGCAGGTGTCTATATAAAGGTATTTGGTAAGGGAGAGCGAACTTGGCCGTGCCAGGGCACTCAGGGTTTATGAATGTAATAATATTTTTATATTAACTATAAGCGTTTTGTATATTCTTATTTGTGATTAAATCTAGCGAATTTTTGTAATACTGAGACATTTGTCAATTATTTGTGCAGTTGTTTGTATGCACTCCATTAAGAATAACTAATTTAAACCTCGAAAATGTTATCAGTTTATTTTGGCCAGTGAATCTTCACCTACCGATATGAATACTAAAGATATCTAACTATTCAAATATTGATAAATGGAAAGAAAATCGTAGTAGGTGGTTAACTGGATATATCTATAGGTATATATATACCAATTAGTTCGTCCACATAGCTACTATGTGTCTTCTATAAATTCTTAATCAGTTAGCTTGTTAACATTAATATTTTTCTTCTGCTTTCCTGCATGTGGTATGAATGTAGGTTAGTTAAATATTTTTGTAGAGTTATTGGTCTTGCAAATAATGGCTCGTCTAAGTTTTAAAGTAGGTGTATGTTTCTAATATTTCCATGATTTAGGTTTGCAGTATTCAGAAAAAAGCGATTGTATGTATTTATTGTCCATTTGTGTCATCCATGTGTTATTATGATCAGATTTCTATACGCGACTATATTCTAACATATATGTAGCATTGTAATGTTGAAATTTTTGTATGCATTTCTATTTATTCATTTGAATAAATTATTATCTCATAGAGTTTTATTTTTGCAATACAATAAATGTACTTTATGCTGTTGATTTTTTGTGTGAATAAAAATTCGAAATTCGAAAAAAAGAAATAAAAACTAATCAAATATTCTATAATTGAAGAGGTCAAACTTGTTGTTTTAAACATTCAGTCGATTGGGTGTTTCTCCTCAACGTCATTTAGAAGACGAAAATCGAATCAGTTATATTTATTGTGTACTTTCAAATAATTAATTATAAAGTATATAAACTGGGCGTTTCTTGTAATCCAAAAAAAAAATATATATATATGCAACTAGAAATTTATTTGAATGAATTCTCATGTGTCGAAAATGCCCATACTTTGTACAATGCTCTTTGATCAATAACCACGAAATTATCTACTAGCCTAGTGGGATATTAACAGATAGAAAGTACTACATAGTGTGTACTTAGTCCTCTCTCCACCATCTTTATAATATTTTCTGTCACACCTAACTTGTAACTGTAAAGATCAGTTATTTAAATAAAAAAAAGTATGCAAACACGTTACGTATATATAACTAGTCAACATATAGCAATATGTAATGTAAGCTACTCAGTAAAAATGAGTGCTATGGAGATTTTTATTTGATCGAGAAATGTACTATCCTTCTAGGTTGCCTACATTTCATAGTGATTTCTCTTCTGGAGACTGTCGATAATTGAATACTTTTCTTCGACAGACATTAAACTGTTCGTTTCATAGTCATATTTACACGTCTACCATGAAGTCATTTATTCGAAGAAAATAGACTTTAATGAAACGAAACCAATTCAGATTGTAAGTGTAAGAGAATATTTCTAGTCAGCATAAATCTAGTGTGTTCAACTATGTTGTTGGTAATACTAAGAGTTTTTTGCTTGATTATGTAATACTTCAATTGTTGTGTTGTTTTTTTTTAAAAAAAAGGAATTTAGATCAAAGTATCAAGGCAAATGATATTCATGCACAATTGCGTTTAAATTTCTAGGCATATTCGATTATTGTGATTTAATAATAGCTCAATAGTATCGTTAACTATGCATACCAAATTACTGTTCAAAGTGGACTGACTACATAAGCTTTTAACTTAGTGGTCGCTAAACTTTTTTAATCAAGGGTTGCATCACAATACAGACTGTACGTCAACAGAAACATACATACTAACTAACATTAGGATATTGGTTTGTTTTTAAAAGATTGCTTTTAAGTTGTAATCTATGAATACTCTTATCACCACACTATGTCAATTTACATACATACCAATTTATATTGGTAACGTTGGTAAACATTGACTTATTCGATCGATTTTTGTTAAAATTTCTGTGTTTTTTTTCTCACAAATTCATCCTAGATGATGACATTGTTTGCTTTTCATTCATTTTCGACTATTATTTATAAATAAAATCAAAAAAAATTTCTACAAAAAGAATCTGTGGTTGTGAAATGAGTTGCTACAACTGAATATAACATCAACTTAGTACAAATCATTATGTAAACGATTTCATCATCCAAATGTAGCTAACTATTATTAGTGTTTTTCTACGACAGTTTGATATAACTGATAATAATTCAAAACACATTGTATGGATCTAGTTCATTTGAATTATGGGCTAACTGCGACAATCAAGTTGGTTAACTAACACACTACCATTATAGTGCTGTATATAGGGTTAGCGTTTTGGCGCCAACCCCATGTCCAACCCTCCTCCTTTATCCCGGCTTGAGACCGGCAGTAACTCCGAAGAATCTACAGGCGGAGTTTGTATATACGATTAGGTGTAACGAATTTGTTACTGTCTTCTTTTTGTGATAATTCATTGTGCAATGTAGACAAGAAATGTGACATTGTAGTATTATGATATACCAATAAAATTATTAATCATTTAATTTTCTCTGTATTTAATTGCCCCTCTTTTTTTCTTCTTCCTCTCTCTGTCTCATGTTTTTTTTTTCATTTTACAGTTAGTTGATAAAATTGGCATTACACTTTACGATTTAAATATTGACAATTTAGATGTTCATGCAGTAAGTTCTATCTATTTTACGTTCATTTTCAATTTTCAGTATGAATATTTGGTTTTTGGTTTTCAATGTGCAGATAGCTGTTTCAGTGATGTGAACATTTTAACTACTACACATTCATAAAGTAACCAACTCTATCACATCTCTACTTTACGATGATTTATCAACTTTTATCTGTATAAAGAATACTTTTGAATATAGTTTAATCAATCAGTCAGTCAGTCAGCTATCATCAACATAACAATTGATATAAATAGTTTGTAGTTTGCTAAGATGTGAAGCACGAAATATTTTTATTAAAGGTGAATGTATCAAGACACTGATTTTTTCAAATGGATTTGATTTACATCAATGAATATTTAATTTCGAACGACTTCCAATTGAATAGGATTTGTCATTAATGACTCAGTAACGCACAA